GGGGTTAAATGAAGTTTCAGCCCTTAGGGTTTGGAAAAAAGGGTTCAATAGCATAAAGGATTCCTTATATTCCTTATGTTTCGGTTTTTGCAATATACCCTTATCCCCATTAGGACCCCTATCTTCCACATCTATCAAAGGAGGGACATAAATCTTACCTTTCTATGTTATCTTGAGCAAATCGATCAACTATGTAACTTGTTATGTAAAATCCTACAACGTATTTGTTTGGTTTGCATAGAGGGCATCCACCATCGATCTGAGTTCCAAGAGCTTCGATTGCATGTTTGCGGTGCTCCAGTTAACTGTCTCCTCCAATCTCAAGAAGCAATCGCTTAAGTTGTCGATCAATTTTTCATGAACCAAGGGTCGCTCCTTAAGGGTTTGCATTCGTGTCGCATTAGTCATCACAGTCTTATGGCTTAAGATGGGAAATAAAGAAGCGAGTGTTTGATCGAGGTCGGACGACTCTGATACCAGTTTGTCAGAACCTTTGGGTATGAGATCTGACAATGGAGGGAGGATTAGGGTTTTTAGATGATTTAGGGTTTGGAGGCGACATAGAAAGGGGAGAAGATTGGGAGAGAATAGAAAATGATATTGATTCATTGATTGCCAAAATATCATTACAGCTTAGTTAAGTACCTTGTCCACATGGGCTATCCTACTCAGCAATAATAGCCACATGGGCTTATATTCAGCAATCAATTAAAATACCAAATAAAACATAATAAGAAATAATTAGGTCCTAACTTATTACAATCGAGTATTCAAGCCCCTATTATATGATAATATCCTAATAATTTTGTAAGTCAAATCAAACCTAAGATGACTTCGAACTCAGCAAAACTCTACGTAACTTGACTAGTTATGATTCTAATTAGGGAAATTTAGTAACCGCTCCTTACTCTTAACATAACCTAATGAAAATTAAAAAAAAAAACTCAAATTACCCTCTCTTTAACCGTATATATACTCTCCTTAAAATAAAGTTGGTTGAATACATCATTTGCCTCCTGAATTTGTGTAAAAAAGTCTTGTGGCCTCCTCTACTTTCAAAGTGACATTGTGGCACCCTAAAATTATAAAAGTATTAACATCACACACTTATTAATCCAATTAGCAACTTATGAAAAGTTTTTTTTTTTTCCTGCGTGTGAACTTGTACAAATAGTCCTAGATGGTATTTTATTGCTAAACCTATTTTTTCTCTCCATCCTATTTTCTTCCTGCAAATTCACGCTGAATTTGGGTTATTCCTAAACTAAACCAATCTCATCTCACTGTGGTAGCCGGAGTTGATGAGAGCGACCGCCGATGAAGTTATTAGGGACGGCGGGAGGGTGTAATCAGTCGACGCTTGACTAGTCTCGCGGTCTTGTGGCTGGTCTTGCCGGAGAAGCAGAAAAGTAGCGCAGAGAGAGAGAGAGAGACTGCGAGATTGTGACTCGCTCTCTACTACGCTCACTGGAAGAGAAAGAGAGAGACCAATGATGGAGTGAGCGATGGAGGAACGATGACAAGAAGCTCTAGTCGATACGACTAAAGCTCAGGTCACCGAAAACGCCAAAATAAAGGAGAAAGAGGGTTGTCTCGATCAATAAGCCCCTCTGTCTCTCTCATTAGCGCTGCTTGAACAAGAACGAAGGCGAAAAGTGATGGCCAGTATCAAAGCGAATGCAAATTATTTTCTTCTAATTGTTGAGAGGATACATGCTTTCTTTGTTGCAAAACTAATTTGGCTCAGAATTAACTTGTGTAAAAATTTAGAACATAAATTTTGAGTTTAGAATTTATGTATTTTATTTTTGAGCGAAAGTAATAAAACATTAAATTATATATATATATACATAAGCTGAAACAAAAAAGAAAGTTAAAGAAAGTTTAAGAATCTTTCTTTTGCTCAACATTCTATTTTTCTTTTTTAATTTTTGAAGTTTTTCTTAATTTTTTTATGTTGTGATTGGACAACTTAAGTATTTTAATTAATATTGATTATACGTTATCCATATTGAATTATTTAAATTGTTCAATTTTATCTATATAATGTGATTTAAAAGGAAAATTTTGAAGGATGCTTATAGATGAAATCAAGAGGGATGCTAATTAATATCAAATTTATTATATAAAATATATTAAATTATATATAGATTGATTTTTTTTTTAATTTTACATTATTCAGATTGGCATCCAATATTTTATTTATTCTTTAGATTCTCTTATTAGCACTAGTTTGAATTCTTTCATATTAAAGAATATTTTTCTAGCTATTGTGGAATAATTAAGAGGCTTTCTAGAAAATCTTGTGCTTCTACCTTTGTTAGCCCCAATGAAGTTCTCACATTATGAATACCAAAATGTGATCTCATGTGCGTATGTACATAATATATAGATTTTTGTTGCCATTCATATAATTAATACCGTACATTATGCAATATTGGCAGCAATCATAATAATTTCAAAACCCTTTAAAGGATAGTATCTTAAGGTTAAGGTCCCAGGGCATCACCCAACATAATTATAGATTGATCAATAGAATATTTAATTAAATAAATTCTATCTATTCAAACCAATTATTTGACAAAAATATTATCAATTTATTTTGATAAAATCAAATGTATTAGTTTTTTTTATTTTCATTATGTAATAAATTTTATTTTTTGTCAATTGATTCATCTATAATACATTCCATACCTATTAATTGATTTTTCATTTTTTATTAGGTACATATATAACTATTTATATACAAAAAATTTAACAACATGCTTAATTCTTATAATTTTATATCTAAAACTTAAATTTAAATTCATACTCTATTTCTAGTTTAAATTTATATATACAATATATCCATAACGAATAAAATGAGAGATAACAGTATAAAAAAAATCTATTCAATCACTTTTATTATTATTTTTAACATAAAATTGCAAATAATTTTTTTATTCCCTATTATATGTTGAGTTCCGAAAAGAGTTTTATTCTTAATAATAATTTTTTTTATTTTCTTTTTCACTACTGGAATTAATTTGTAACTATTATCACTTTAATTTAGTAAGAGATTTATATTTCACTCGCAATAAATAGATGACCTCTTGATCATTAAACATTTTTAATTTTCTTAATATGTTTTCTATTATATTCTAAATCTATTTGATTTAAAAGAAAATAATGTTTATAAAACTGGAAAAAAACTTGAACTAGATTAAAATGAGAGAGATAACAGTATAAACAATCTATTTCAACACTGTTTTATGTATTAATTTTCTAACATAAATTGCATAATTTTTTTAATTCCATATTATATGTTTGAGTTATCACGAAAAAAGGAGTTTGTTCGTTAGATAGAATAATTTTTTTTTATTTTCCTTTTCCACTACTGGATTAAGTTTGTAACTATTATCACTTTAAATTTAGTAAGAGATTATTATTTCACATCGAAATAAATAGATGGACCTCTGTCATTAATAATTTTCTTAATATGTTTTCTATTATATTCTAAATCTATTTGATTTAAAAGAAAATAATGTTTATAAAACTGGAAAAAAACTTGAACTATATATTTCGGTTTTGGGTCACTTTTTGGGTTTCAAGAATTTGTATGTATGTGCATATATTCGTTTCTATAATGCATGGGGTAACTAATATTGTCACTATACCCAAAATAATTACCATTATTTATCTACTCATTTCTTTTCTTTACCCAATAGTAAAAAATAATTTTTTATTATTATTTTTTATTACAGTTGTATAGATATTGATTTGGGGTTGAGGGCACAAGGTTGGAGATTGAGTGATAACTTGATTTTCTTTTTAGACACTTATTAAGGTTTTAAGAAACTACATTTATAAATTAGGAACTGAAGGATTATGTATAGAAATTGAGTTGAATTTTATTTTGCGACCACTTCTTTATTAAAAAAATAGAATAAAGTACATAAAAATTATAAGTAGTTTGTACGACAAAATCCAATATAAATTAAGCAATTGTATTTATTTAAATATAGATACAAAAACTTATGTTTTAATATTATATAAATAAAAAAATTAAAAGAGTATAAATATATAATGACTATAATCAACGTACAAGATACCTCATAAAAAAGACTAATAATTATTTAAATAATATCAAAATTACTCATGAGGAAAGCCCCAGATTTTGACTAGTTTAAAATACTTTTGATATAATGCCAAACATTTGAAAATTCAAAAAATAAAATAAAAAACAAACAAAAAGAGGAATCAAAATGAACCAACTTCAATTTTTATAAATTTTTAATTTTTTTAACTTTTATTTTTTATCATTTTAAGATTGGGAGCATTAGTACCTTATTACTTTTTACTAAAAATAAAATAAATTAACCCTAAACTCAAAGTTTATGACTTAAAGTAAGTTAATGACTTAAGTATAATATATATAGTATAAGTAATATATATAAATTAAGCATCTTTAATTGAACAGAGCGCAAAAATGTTTGATTGAGTGCATATGCCTCGCTCGGATTCATTTTATCAAAAATTAACGCTGGAGAACTTTTACATATATATATATATATATATATAAATTAAGCATCTTAATTTGAACAGACAAAAACTTTTGATTGAGTGCATATGCTCGCTCGGATTATTTTATCAAAAAATTAAACTGGAGAACTTTACTTCATTATATCAAACATAAATAACTATTAAATTCATTTCTCTTTTTTCATTTTTAAAATTTTATCATCGTATATTTCTTTTTTTTTTTAAATTTTATTTCAGTTCCAAAACGGGATTTAAAAAAAAATAAAAGAAAGAAAGACGAAAAAGGAAGGCAACAATCTAGAAAAATGAATAAAGTAAAAAAATGCAGTGAAAGGCCATCATTTCAAACAACCAAATGCCACTGCAAATGCAATTGTCAGACTCTTAAAGAACAACTATGTTTTTATATAGAGCATAGACTGTAGAATTAGAATTAGTTGGTTCTGTTTAAAACCACAAGAAAACTTATCCACTAAAGTATAAATATGCAACCGAAATGCCTCTCTCATCCACAAACTAAGAAAAGATGGAAGCTTTCAATGCTTCCTTTTTCTCTTCACTTCACTTCTCACCAACACCAAACAGACTCCAGAAAACCCAGTTCTTGTATTTTCAGTTGTATTCAAAACCCATTTCTTTTCTCCAATCAATTCAAAGAAACACATCAAGATCCAAACTTTTCACCACTTCATCATCATCATCTACAGTTTCAAAGGATGCCATATATCCAACAGATCCTGTAATTGAGAATGAAAGCCAAGAAGAGAAATTTGATTGGTTTTGTCAGTGGCATCCAATTATGCCAGTATGTGATCTAGACAAGAGAGTCCCGCATGGAAAGAGAGTAATGGGTCTTGATGTTGCGGTTTGGTGGGACAGGAATGAGAATGCGTGGAAGGTCTTTGATGATAGTTGTCCTCATAGATTGGCTCCATTGTCTGAAGGAAGGATTGATCAATGGGGAAGATTGCAGTGTGTGTATCATGGTTGGTGTTTCAATGGCTCTGGTGATTGCAAATTTATTCCTCAAGCACCTCCAGATGGCCCTCCGGTATTGAACATCTACGCAGAAATCCTAAATTCTCATTTTCATTGCCTAAACTAATGAACATTATTAATCCTTTTTTTTTTTTGTTGGCTTCTGGTGTTTTTCTTAAATTTTACTTTTGGGTATTGCATAATAAATTTAGTATAGCATTGGTAATTTTTCATTAGTCCCTTATGAATTGAACCCAAAAGGCATTTGAGTTCTTTCTTGACACCTGACTGTGTTTAGCTTAATTGAAACTTGCTAATGTCTGAACTCTGAAATCCAACTTTCTTCATCCCAAGAGGAGGTTTCATATTTATTTTGGTTAAGGTTAAACAAAAAGCTGTTATTCTTCATAGAAGAGAAGGAGAGTCTTAACTTCTCTTTGCGTAACTTTTTCTAGGTTCACACGTTCAAAAAGGCATGTGTAGCTGCTTATCCAAGTACAGTGCAGCATGGAATAGTGTGGTTTTGGCCAAACAGCAATCCTGAATACAAAGATATCCTTTCAAAGAAAACACCTCCATATATTTCAGAACTGGATGATCCATCATACATCAAACCAATGGCAAATAGAGAGTTTCCTTATGGGTATGCAAAATATGATCTTCAATTTCCATCGTACATCATATTTTCTATAAAATGTAACTGCTGCAAGGACACATTGAAGCTTTCTTATTCTAAAGTAAGAACCAAATGGTAAATTTCAGGTATGAAGTCTTGATTGAAAATCTGATGGACCCAGCTCATGTTCCATATGCACATTTTAAACTGCTTCCAGGCCCACCATCCAAGAACAGATAAGAACTTTCAAATCAGTTCCTCTTCTTGATTGGCATTATCTTTCATATTGCTTCATACAAAACCTTTTGTTTTACATGATAACACTACTCTTTCACAGTTAAGCTCGACAGAGAAGGAGGAGCACCAATGGACATAAACATAGAAAAGTTAGACATAAATGGATACCACTCTACTCGATATGGAGGGGCTAGCAAATTTATGGCACCTTGTGTATATTATTCTGCCTTTACTCTCCCAGCTTCAGTGAATTCAGGCAAAACCAAAGATCAAGGAAATGGATCAGTCTCATCAACTGTAAACAGTAAGGTAATACAACTGTTCAACTCTGTTTTCTGTTTTTTCTTTTTGACCTTTCCATTTTATATGTTTGATGTACTAGCAAAGATTTATTGATTTATATTTTTGCTTCCTATTTGGTTGTTTGGTCCAGGAATCATCATCAAATGCACCACAAAGACGGGGGCTTCTTGTTTTTATCTGTGTTCCAGTTAGTCCAGGTAAAAGCAGATTGATATTTACATTCCCAAGAAATTTTGGAGTTTGGATTGACAGAATTATTCCAAGATGGGTGTTTCATTTGGGACAAAATCTGGTTTTGGATTCAGATTTGTATCTTCTTCATTTAGAGGTAATATCATCATTGCCATGGGTTAAATATTTTTCTGATGCATAGTGTCAACAATTCAATGGAAGATGGAATATAAAGCCCACTTGTGTAGCTTGCTTTTCGTGTTTCTTTACTTTTCTAATATCGAAATAGAAAGCGAAAAATAATTTTAATTACACATTTAAATGAATACATAAGAAGTACTTTTTTTGTTTTGTTGCAAAGTAAAAATGAAATCTTGTTGTAAATGGAAAATGTCTTGTGAGAGAAATTAATATATATTAATTAGTTACACTTTTATTATTGATTTATTTTCTAGAAAGGAAAAATGTATTAAGTACTTTTTAAGAAGTGAAAAGCTGAGACAAATGAATCTTTCAATTGCAAAGGCACAAAAAAAAAATCTGTTCAACTAGAAAACAATAAAATTCATGAAAAATGTATGCTAAAACTTTAAGATCTATTTGGACAGATAGTGCTAGGAATTTGACATCATGTTGATATTTTTTTTTATGATTTACACCTAAACACAAATTCCAAATAATCTTTTCATTTCAAATGACTAACTATTCAAATAAATCCTACTTAATTTCAATGTTTAATGTAGTAGATCTATAATTCATTTATATGACAATTGTTTAGTATTTTGGTTCTGACTTTAGAATTCAGTATGAAAAAATAACAACATTATATTTTCTGTCTTTTTTTCATCCACTAGAATGCTAAAAGAAAGGAAATTCTATATTTTGTATCCAATTGATTGTTTTAAATTGTTGATGGTTTGATCCGAAAACGAACATAAAGATAGAAATTAGTCTTTTTAATGACTGAAATTTTCTTTTTTATGAATCCTAGGAACATAAAGAAAGAACCAATTCTTAACTCTAGATCTGAGCTCTGTCTCTGTCTCTCTCTCTCTCTCTCTCTCTCTATCTAGGAGCGTAAAATAATGGAAGTTGGCACATCCAATTGGCAAAAGGCTTGTTATGTACCAACAAAATCAGATGCTCAAGTGATTGCTTTCAGAAAGTGGTTAAGAAAGTACTCGGATGGTCAAATTAACTGGGGAGGGAGGTTCAGTGGAGCACTTCCCCCAACTGCTCCAAAAGAGCAATTGATGGACAGGTAATTATAGAATAGATTTAGAGCTTCAAATTGAACAATTCTTTACTTTCAAATGAACGTCTTCTTTTGAAATTTTATGAGGAAGCTTTATCACAAAACCTTTGTTTTGATAGATTCATGAAATCTTTTTATGTTTGGTGTTGCAACATGAAAGCTTCAGTGAAACATTTTCTATTTTTCGTCTAACGGGCGAGCTCTACCAATTTCCATATCTATCAACTGATTAGCATCATTTGAACCTGAAATCTGGGCCGTCCCATCCGGGACATTATTGCAAGATTTGATTATTGAAACTACATGAAAAGAAATGAAACTTCTTTGTTTTCTAAAGTGTTGCAAGAAAATCTATATACATATACGCATTATTGCAAGATTTGATTAGTGAAACTGCAAGAAAAGAAATGAAACTTCTTTGTTTTCTAAGTGTTGCAAGAAAAATCTAAATGCTCAATCATTTGGAAGGACTGGGTATTCAGATAGACCCTTATGGTATTTCAGTTAAATTGACAGTTGGGATCAAGTTGAAGCTTTTGCATCTGGTTTTTCAGGTACTGGTCACATGTTGTGAATTGCAGCAGTTGCAATGCTGCATATAAGGGTCTAAATGCACTTGAGGTTATTCTGCAAGTAGTGTCCATTATCTCGATTGGCATTGCTGCTGCAACCAAGCAGAGTTTGAAGTCTGCCGTTGCAAGAAATGCACTGGTCTTGATGGCAGTTTTATGTTTTGTAGCTTCAAGATGGTTGGCTCACTTCATTTACAAGAATTTTCATTTCCATGATTACAACCATGCCCTTGTTTAAACTTATTGTATTATACTGTACAAAAACCCAATGGGTATAGTGTATAGTGTTGTGCATGGGATTCGTATTGAACCGGACAAACCGTACCAAACCTAAATTGAAAGAAAAAACTGGTATTCTAGGAACCAAATCATATCAAAGTACAAGTTATTGTTTCGGTTCCGATTCTGGTTATTACAAAGAAGTAGACTAAAATGGTACCGAATTGAAAATCTGATTTATATATATTTTTTCTTTTTTTTAATTTTTAGAAATAGCATATAGTTTACAACACCCATTATATTTTTTTATTATCTGTTTATTTATCTTTATATATATATATATAATCCTGAAAAAAAAAAATCTTTAAAATGTTGACTTGGTGGTCGACTTTTTCAGTATTCTTTATAAATTTTCTACATTTTTAATGTATTTCTTTCATTTTCATATGCACCGTCAACTCAACTACAAATCTCTTCGCACAAGCTGAAATCTTTTATGGGCCCAAGCCCAAATATATCTCAACCTCCAAAGGGTTATGGGTTTTACAGTAAACAGCAAACATAACAGCAGAAAGTAAGAAGAAAGAGGAAGAGGAAGGAGGAGCAAGCTATGGTGCCAATAGCATCTCTATGGGATGAAGTGAGAGAGCTAAGTTTAGGAACTTCTGCAACAAAAATAGAACGCCTAGATTCACCTCCATCTCCTCTTCATTTCTTAAGAAATTTTGTTTCTCCAAACAAACCCTGCATCATTTCTAATGCTATTTCCCATTGGCCAGCCCTTTCTCTTTGGCCCAATCACTCCTATCTTTCCCATTCCCTCTCCAACTCTTCCGTCTCCCTCCACATCACACCTCACGGCCGCGCCGATTCTCTCGTCCCCACCAGCACCAATGCTCATTCTCTCTGCTTCGCCTCTGCCCACGTCGAGCGCGTGCCATTCACGCTCGCACTCGATCGCGTTCTCACTAGTGAGCGCGGTAAATACGTGGCATACCTCCAGCAGCAGAATGATTGCTTTAGGACGGAGTATGCGGCGGCTTTGGGCTCCGATTGCGATGCCCATATTGGTTGGGCAACGGAGGCGCTCGGTTGTCTTCCCGAGGCTGTGAATTTGTGGATTGGTAATCATTTGTCTGAGACTTCTTTTCACAAGGATCATTATGAGAATCTATACGCTGTCGTTTCGGGGCAGAAGGATTTCTTGTTGCTTCCTCCCACCGATGTTCACCGTTTGTATATTCGTAATTATCCTGCTGCTCAATACTTTTATTCTCAGGTTTAATTATTAATATTATTATTATTATTATTATTATTTGTAATTATCGTTAGCTTTTTGCTCTGGGTTTTCAGTTTCTGTTGATTTATAATTAGATTTTTGTATGTGGGTTTTTAGGAAAATGGAGAATTTAGATTGGAAATGGAGGAACCAGTGAGGTATGTGCCATGGTGTAGTGTGGATCCTTACCCTTCTCCTCAGGCCGAAGACAGTGAAAGGGCTAAATTTCCTTCGTATTTTAATGGCCCAAAGCCATTTAAATGTACAGTCAAGGCTGGAGAGGTTCTTTACTTGTAAGCTCTATTTCATTTTTTCTGCCTTTTGTTTATGTGTTCTGTTTTTGAAATTATTGGAAGTAATCTAGAGATAGATTCATTCATATACTGAAATGAAAACATGAAATTGTAAATGTGTAATTCATTTATACCAAACAGGACCCCAGTATAAGATTTTTTTTTTTTTTTTTTTTTTTAAGGCTGAGAGAGGTTCTTACTTGTAAGCTCTATTTCATTTTTCTGCCTTTTGTTTTATGTGTTCTGTTTTTTTTGAAAATTATTGGAAGTAGATCCTAGAGATAGATTTTTCATTCAATATACCTGAACATGAAAACATGAAAGTGTAAATGTGTAAATTCATTTATACCAAACAGGACCCCAGTTATAAGATTTTTTTTTCTTTTTTTTTGGAAAGAATCATCATTAGGCTTTTTTTTTTTTTTTTTTTTTTGGAAGACATATGATATTGAATTTAAGTTCCTTTATTTCATAAAATGACCTTTGAAACAGATTGAGGAAGCACATTTTTTATTAATAAATGAAAAGCAATGTGTAATTCACTAGGTGGAATTTAGTTTAGTTATATTGAATTTCATGGAATGGAAATAATATGTATGAGGAATTTCGGGTCAAGTAATTCAAACAGGTTCTTATATAAAACATAACGTTGGTGTATTTAGAAAACAAATATGACACAGGGAAATACAAAATAGTATTAAGGCACGATTTGAATATAGTGAAGGAAATTGAGAAGGAAGCCTGTCTTCTTCAGAGAAGCAAAGTATTAGAAGCACCTAGGGTTGGGCTAAACTTCTTTTCCAGTGTGGAATTTTCTAGAAAGTCAGTGTTTAATTTGAAAAAGTGATGCAGGCCAAGTATGTGGTTTCATCATGTGCGACAAAGTCCGGATGAGAAAGGATGCACTATTGCCATAAATTATTGTAAGTATGAAGCCTTTTTCTGCAATAATTTTGTTTCATTTTCTTTTTAAATCTGATTCTAAGTTATAGGTGTGTGTGACAGGGTATGATATGCAGTTTGATATCAAGTATGCATATTTCAACTTCCTGCAATCAATTCATTGTGGACCAAGATTGACTCAAACAAAACATGAGACTTCAGGTTCTGATGTATCTAATTGTAACTTGAGTGATAAATCATGTAAGGGTGCACTTGTATTGGTGGGAGTGGAGTCAAACCAAGATAGTAAAGACGAATGAACTGATTTCTTAACCCGCATAGCTTGATCCTATACTAGTGGAATTCTTCTTATCCCATGATTTATGCTATAAGAAATTAAGAACGACCAATTATTTGATGGACAAGTAGTTATCCTCTGTTATTTTGAGGCCTTAGGATTTGTCAATGTTAATTTTGATGAATAATAAAAATATTGCAATATTGCATATAAAATTTCATGATTGCTGCAACAAAATCTGTTGAGCTTGGTATAGGTGGTTGTTGTTTTTGAGTTTTCTTCATATGAAGGATGTAGAAGGCCCGAAATGATTGTTTATAGGTGCTCGTTGTTTGGTATAGGTGCTTGATATGGAGGATGTAGAAGGCCTAGGATGATTGTATGGTTAAATTCAAAATGGCTCCCCTGATTGTTATTTCCAAGGGATGTCTTGATTATGGCTGTTCCCAGGACACAAACTTTTTTTTTATCATTGGGAGAGGAATATTCGAGGGTCTTTGTAGTTTGTACTGTTCGGATATGCACTTACTCCTAGGATGAGCCTCCTATTTGCAGGATGCATTGGAGAGGAGAAATGAGGGAGACAATATTTCAAGTTCGGATATTGGAATGGTTGCTTACTGACGCAATGGTTAGCGCCAGCACCGGCATATGTCCAGGCAAGTGCTATGTGGCTGCTTTGGAGCAGTTATTTGAGGGCATTTTCTTGCAGGTACGACTCTCCCCCCAACCAACTAGTTTTAATTCTTCCCAGAATGATGGGGCCTATGCTTTGAAGGGAGGCATTATATTTTCATATATATCTAGATGTGATTCTTGTTGACAGTCTATGATTTTGTAATTCAATATGCTTCTTTTTGCATTTTAATTTAGACAAATGACATGTATCCGATGTTCTCTTTCTTTCTTTCCATTCTCCTTTATTTAGCTCTTTTTTTTTTTCTTTTTTTTACTCTTTACTTTGTATGATAATAAAAATTATTATTATTAATGATACCCTTTTTTAATATAAAATAAAATTATCCATATTTGATCTAATAAAATGAAATGTATAATTATTATAAAGAATCATAGGTGGAGATATTTGTACTCTATATTTATGGTTGTGAGGATGCAATTGACACTATTCTCCTTGTAGCCTGAAAAGTTATTGGTTACAAATTACCTGTAATTGTTTATTTTGATGTGCATGGGTGTATTCTGGAATTCCTCTTTCTCCAAATGTGCTTGGATATACCAAAATGCATAGGATATGATTGCCAAATAGAAGTGATTTATGTAGGATCAATTTATGAAGAAAGAAACTAAAAAGGTTATGTATGTGAACTAATTCTGGAAGCTAGTTGTCACGACCCGAAACCATGGGCCGGACCGGCACTAGGGCCCAGGTAAGCTTAAGGCCCCCGAGGCCCGTAGTAAGCCTGAATCAATAAAAAAGATTGGGCGGACCCGGCCTAGGCCCAGGGTAAAGCTTAACGCCCCGAAGGCCCGTAGTTAAGCCTGAATCAATAAAATTCTCTTTCTCAATATTAATCTTCAAACATTTAGCCCATACTTACTATGTAAATAATTTTAAACATTTAGCCCATATTTATAGAAAAATAAACCTCAAGATTTTATTAAATCTCGGCCCAAATTTATCAGCTACCACATTCCATAGTTCGGTCCCAATTAACAATACATCACATTTTTAATATGGGCTCAAAGAATAATTTCGTCTATATAATACATGATTATATGTAAGTAAATTCTACAACTGCGGAGTCACTAACTGATATACATACATAGATTTTTATACATATAGATACATATCAAAATAATTATTGAACTAGGAAAATTTTCTTTCTAGCCCTGCGGCGAAGGAACATAGCTTAACCGAATTAAAGAGAAATTTACTTCCTAAAAAATTAAACAAGATATGTGAGCTTTCTTAAGAAGTCAATTACCATTTAAGCACATACACACTCATTCACACAATGAATAAATATATCATCTAGTTCATCGACCTAGTTATATGCTCACGCAGCCGTCACCAAATGGCATTCACAGCACTCACAAATTCATTAACATTTCATGTAATCACATCACGTGAGGAAATTAGTGCGTCGGCGCCACCTGAAACCCCAACTGCCGTCCTCACACATGGCTCGCCCGTCTCTACATGTTGCACCAGGGAGGCCCGATCCCCCATTACGGCCAACTGGTCTAATAACTCACTGACCAGTCCTCTCATTATTTTCCATTCTTCTCGTTTCTTTTCCATATTTTCCATATCAACAGGAGGCAACTCGGTGGTCTCCATCCAATCTAGATCGTCAAGTGCTCACAACAGGAGGCCACCCTGCGAGCTACAATCAAATCTAGATTGTCAGGTGCGCAACAACAAGAAGCCATCCTGTGAATCTCCATATAATCTAAATCATCAGGTGCACAAGGGGGCGCCGATTTCCCATTTTCCCGGCCAACGGTCAAGTATTATATCATAACCGGATCCATATCACAGACCGTCCTCACAAACCCCTGGTGGTCCACTTCATCCCAATTCCACACAAACAAGGCAACGTATAGCACAGCACAAGTAATCTTTCACAGCACAAGGTAATCAAACAAATGCAATCAAATGCAGACATATTTTGATCAGTTGAGCATCATAATGCAATGCACAATTAGGCGATTCATTTCTTAGATACAATTAAATAAAAAAAATTAAAAAAAAATAAATTGATATTAAACAACAAAGATAAAATAAATAATAAATATAATAATATAATAATAACAGATGAGAGATCAAAATAAATAAATCATTGAATAATTAAATAAATAATAATGATTCAATCATGAAAATTTGAATTACGAGCACTATATTTATTATGTATGAGTTATTAGAAATTTTAATTTAAACTTAATTATTAATTATTGTTATTACCGTACAAAATATCTAATTTCTATGAAAATTTCCGGCAGCACACTTCCCCTAAAGTAGGACCTATCTTACCTCGTTTTAATACACAATAATATCATAATCATTATCATCAATTCAATACACACACCATCCGTCGGGCAAATACACAACATTTCACATCCGCACATGTCGTAACTCAACAATCTTGTTAAGCTTTTGTATCAACAAATAATCAATCGAATATTAATAACCTAAGAATTCCAAAATCAATTAAATTACAATTTATATGTAACTATTACACTCCAGACGATATTCTTAACGTTCCTTAAAATTAGCTTACCATAAAATATTTTT